CAGTCAGCTTGCTGGAAAGGGACATGTGCAGGTCCCTCGGCGGATGGCTCAGTGAGCACCCTCCGGATGTGCCAAACAGKCGGTGGTTGGCGGTTCGGAGTCYCSTTTGCASTATTAAAGGGGCCTGCGTGCTTAGCAGCCCCCTTGCAGTCGACGAAGGCGACGTTCCGGGCGTGGGTTTTGGGACCTTGTACTCGAGTTACGAGGGACTCTCTGCACACGCTTTGGGTGGTTTCCAGTTTACGAGGGATGGGCGAGTCGTGCTTTGGTGGTCGAGCGAACATTTTTGCGGCGCCGTTCGGGTCCATGGTCGTCTGTCTTGGAGGGCTTATTTCACGACAGCTCCGTCGTTGTTGGCGGCGGTCGCGGCTGTCGGGGTTTTCCTATGTCGTGGTGCCGGGTTGTGGATAGTTGCGTTCACCCTTGCTCATCGTCTTGCGATGATTGGCGSCTGATCGCCGACGGCGGTCCGGTTGGCGGTCGTTTGCAGGGTGTGGAGGCGGAAGTGCCCGTCACCGGCTCTCAGCCTCAGCACCATCATCCCGTAGGTTACGGGGAGAGCTGTTGCGGCTCTGTTGTGTTGTCGTCTTCGTGTCCGCACTCACAACGGCGCGTGCCGTTTGTGTTGAGGGGGTGTCACGACTTGGTGAGGACGCTCTGCGCTCTTCGCCATCCGAGCGGCGCCATTGAGCGGTGGCGCAGGTGGCCTCGGCCATGCACACGCTGCTTACCGTATGCGAGGGCGTAGACTTGTGGGATGTGTGATGCACCCTCCTACGGCGTCGCGAGGCTCGGCCCGTCATCCGCCCGCCTTTTGGAATGCGCGCTTGTGCCCGTCGTGTCCCCCATCCTGTGGTCTCGGTATGCTGAACACCGTGACGGATCGCGTTGCGTCGTGGTTCCGCTGCATTTTGGTTGTAAGCTTCAAAGGCTACTGTCCTCTGTCTCCTGGGTTTCGCCTGCGTCGAGTGCTGTTGGTGGTGCCTGCGGCAACCGGCGGATGTGGACCCAGGGGGGAGAGGGGTTGTGTTCCTTTTGCGCCCCCGTGCACAGGTGGAGGCTTTCCGTCCGTCCGGGCGTGTTGGAAGCGTGGTGCATTCGTTTCTCTCT